TTTTTTGTTTCAGTTTGGCTGGGGCCGGGTTTGAACCTACCACCCTCGGTATATGGGGCCAGCGCCCTACTCACTGAGCCCCAGGCGCCACCCTAAGACCTTACATTTTAAATAATAATTTTATTGGAAATAGTACTTCCCACTGTCAGGGTTTGTTAAAGTTTATCCAGCCCTTCACTTGTGTTTCTGCTTTCCATTGTCATTGCCATAGTCATGTGCCATCCTTAAGGCCTCCTTCAAGTTCCCTAACACAGTTTTCTCCAACATATCTTTACTTTTTCTTGGAAATACAGCATTTTTTGAAGCTATGAATGATGCTGTCACAGAAAATATAATTCCAAGTCATGAGAGTGATTAGGTTGGTTGTTTTTCATCTAAATAGTAGGTGAATATTTTTGGTCTTCTTAGGATAACCACAAAATTAGGTAAAACAGCAATTATCTCCCATTCCTTCCTCATTCCCTTTCCCTGCTTAATTCTTCCTCCACAGCACTTCTTAGCATGATATACTTGTTAAACATGTTTATTATCTCTCTCCTCTCACTAGAATGTGAGCTCCATGAGGTTGGGGAATTTAATCTGTCTTGTTTTATGTCCATCACCTGGAAACACGCCTAGAACATAGTAGTCGCTCAACAAGTAATTGTGGAATGAATGAATGTAAAGCTCTTAGAAACATCTGCTAGCCCCCTGGCAGCATGACCATGAAGACACAGGATGGGGGAACCCAGCTATGTTAGATTACTTACACACTTGAGGGTGGTGGTGGTGGTAAAAAAGTTACAGAACAGATAGAGAACAATGAGAGGTATGCTTCTCACCTTGGGGGAAAAGCTAGGATATACCTTGTGCTGTTGAACTGGAACTTTAGGTCTAAATGTAAACTTGATTTTCAATTTATGTAGACAAAGAAATAAACATAGATGTAAACGTGTATGTTTATAGTGTCTGTGTAAATGTGTGTCCTCAGTGGGCCTGAGAGTAAGAAGACCCTAATTGCAATAAACAAGTCTAACTGTTAGATATTAGTTTCTAAATACATTTTCCCACTAAAAACACACCAGGTATCCTTGAAGAAATAACTAATTATTATTCCAGGGGCAAGGAAAAACAAGATGAGCCTAAAATGTTTTGAGCTGGAAAGAAAGGAAGTGTTCAAAGAATGATCAGGCTTGTCACAATGATGAGAGGCCAGCATGGGTGTCCACTAACCAAATATGGGATAATTTGAGTATCAAAATAAATGATAGGAATGGACTAAGATTCATAGAATAAAATAGGAAACCACAGTCCACCTGGCATAAGTGGATAAATAAATGGGGGTGAAGAGTTGTTCTTTATAATAGAATGCAAACTAATAAATGTAGAAGTAATGAAATTAGGAAATTGCCATTTGTGAACCACAGTAATATTAATTTGGGTAAGAAACACCAACGGATGCTGAAAGCTATTGGTGAAAAGTGGAATGAAGAAAAGGATGTTTTAAGTATCTTTTCTTTTTTAATTAAGCATCTTAATTATGTGATCACATTAATACTGTCAGTCATGGTTCCAAATGACATTGGCTACAATGAGAACACAGCATCATTCTTGTGGTATATCTGCCCAAAATGCATTACAATGGTCTAATCATAAGGACTAGATAAATCCAAATGGAAGGACAGTCTACAATAATAACATTCCTGTAATCTTAAAAAAAGTCAAGCTCACAAAACTCAAGAAAAGGCTACAAATTGTTCTAGATTGAGGGAGACAAGAGAAATGTGACAACTGAATACAATGTTTGATAACATATTAGATTTTTTTTTAATTCTAAGAGTTTTTGTTTTGGATGCTGAAGAGCAATTTGAAATTGGCAAGAATGGTAGCACTTTTCGTGGCTTATTCCTGGTGGCTGGCAGAATTTATCTCAGACAAGCTCCTGAGGAACTGACTGGCATGAGGAGCCTTGGATCCCCTGCTACCCTTTTATGCCTATGCTTCATCTCCCTTAGCTCAGAGGTCCCTGAGAACAGGGGTCCTGTCTGGGCCATGGCATAGAGCAGCTTCTCAGAACACATTGAATGAATTCCAACAAAAAGGGTATGTTTGGGGGCACAAATCAAGCCCACATCTTCACCTGGGGTCCAATTAAAGAAACTGTCAAGCCTGGTTGCTGGAAGCACACCTGGCTGAGTGGGACCCATCATTGCATGGTGTTTCCTGGGGTGTTCTGTGGGAAGCACTTACAGTTTAGGGTTGAGGACCCAATCCTTGAGACATACCATGTTGAAAAAGCCTCTTGACAGAGAAAATTCCCTTTTACATGCTCCTGTTGCTGGTGCACTAAGAGTGCATATGGAAGGTGATCAGGTTGAGGGAGGTGTGGGATACTAAGAACGCTGAGGGTACAGTAGACCTACCTGTGACCTGGGATCAGCAAGTGAGACTACTAGAATTATTATGAGTAATGTTGTAGGGAGGATGGGTATTCAATATGTTAGGACAAATTTGCCAGGGATAACTTTTTTCCTTGCTTTCTGCTGAGGTTACAGTTTTATGTGTGGATGTCACCATTCAAGGTACCACAATGCCAACCCTTCAGGATAGGGCACTGAGGCATCTTACGTCTCTCAGCATGGGAACAGTCTTGGGGCTAGCTCCTGGCTCTGTCCTTCTTTTCACATCACAAGCTGTTGGCAGATCACCCCTGGGGCAAAGAAGGCCTGTGATGGAGCAGGAAGGGGCTGAGTTTGCAATGTATCTCGCCAGAGGCTTCCAGGAGGCCAGAGGTTCCTCCTTGCCTTGGGCTGGCCTGCTGCAGGCGGGGCTTGCCAGGGAGTGCCTTGCTAGGAAGGGAGGGCAAAGGGCCAGGTCCTTTATTTGCCCCACCCTGCTGACAACAGTCCCAGTCACCAGGCTACCCTCTGTGTCCGGGCCCTTGAGGGGTAAGTGTCCTTCTAAACCCACCTACCTTGTCCTTTCCTGACGATCTGGTGAGGAATCCTTTTCTCTTCCAGGGTCCAAACACCCTGCCCACCCTTGCTCTAAGGCCAGGCAGAGGCCACACCTGCCACCTCTACCACCACCCAGGTCCTCCTGCTCTATTTCCCAGAGGTCCCCAACACTGGGGGGCAGGTTGTGAATATCTCAGCCTCCTCCCTTCCTGACTTCATTACTAAGACCAAGGCCAGGGTGAAAGGGCCTAGAGTGGGAAACCTCACTAGGCAAGCCCCAAATCACTAATCCCTTCCCCTGTCACCCTACAACAGAGTCTAGAATTCCAAGTAGTTGGAGCACTGGGGGACACCCAGACTGAGCTCTCCCTGGACCAAGTTCTCCAGGAGCGAGATGAGGCCATTGCCAAGTGAGACGAAGTTCCTTGCAGGGGTTGGGAGGTTGGTGGGTTGGAGGGGCTCACTCACAGGGCCCTATCCTGATAGAGGAGATGGGGGAGTGAGGCATTCTGGAAGCAAAGCCATAAAAACACCCACCCTGTCACTAAGGTGGGGGCTATGGCCACACCTGCCCACCCCCAGCCTCAGACTGCTCCTCCTGCCACCTGCAGGAAGCGGGCAGTGGAGGCTGAGCTGGACACATGCAAAGCCAGGTTGCGTGCTGTGGAGGCCCAGCTGCTGGAGGTCCTGGAGGAGAAACTGAGACTGAGGCAGGAGGTGGAGGCCTGGGAGGTAGGGTGGGGAATACCGGCAGAGCCTGGGAGGAGGGGGGAGGAAGGCACAGGGTCAGCCTTGAACCTGCTCTCCTGCCCTCAGGAGGACATGCAGCAGCTGGTGAGGCAGCGGGTGGAGAGTCAGCTGCAGAGAGAGTCCCGGGGTGCTCTGGGAGCCCATGCAGGCCCTGGAGCTGCCAGGAGCCCCTGGGCCAGATTTCCCTTGGGTCAGGGACGTTGGTGGTGAGAGCTCAGCTCAGAACTTGGAAAGCAGTGTCTTTATTCATTAAAGCTTGAGGTCTGACCACCCCTGCACCTTTGTGTCCTCTCAGTACCTTCCTGAGTCCTTCTGTGTCAAAATGTGGAACAGGCTGCAGGACGTGAAGCCTGGAGTTTCTTTTGTGCCTTCTCTTGCCAGCAATTCTTAGACCAGGAAGCTTTGGATGGCAGCTATGAAGTCCTGTGGGCGGTCAGCATGGACCCAGTGGCCAGCATTAGGCACAGTCTGCATCTGGGCCCGAGGGAAGAGCCGCATGATCTCAGGATGGTGGCTGGGACTGTGCACCATAGCGAAGGTTGTTGAGAATGGGTGTAAGTGGGATGAGGGGGAAGAGAAAGAGACAGGCAGAGGCAAAATGGGGAGACAGAGAGCTGTGTGAACTCTCATGTCCAGTGGTGTTTGGGGACTCTCATTTACCCCCTGCCCATGCCCAATCCACCCCAGTAGGCTCCCCATACTGGAGTTGGGTAAGGCAGGTCCCTCCCACTTCCCCAGCTGGCTTACTGCACAAATTGGGAGTTTCCACCAAGGAGGAAGAGGGTTGGCCCAGGGTAGGATTCCTGTTGTAGTGGGAAAGCCAAGATCTTGTCCAGGTGCTGGGCCAAGGCATCCAAGTTCACTCGCCACCTGAAGCGCCCATCTACCTCCACCAGGTTGGTGAGCAAAAACTGCCGCACAGTCATGTCCTATGGGGGCCTGGCAGTTAGTGGGGATCCCTGTGAGGCTTAGGTCCTCCACTCTTCCCTCGACAGGTCCCAGTCTACACCACTATCTGGGGGCTTGGGTGCACCACCTGCACAACAGAGCTGAGCTGCTCATCGGCCAGTTTCCGGGCGCGGGAGCGTGGTACCTCATCTGGGATGTCTATGGCCCTCATGGCTGCCATATACGTTTCAAAGTTTGAGCTGGACGTGGTTTCCACTGGGCTGATGTCTACGGCAATCAGACGTTCCACCAGCTCTGGCTATGGAAAAGAACTAGACTGGGGACAAGCCTTAGGGCAGACACAGTGTCTAGTTTCCAGAGCCTGAATTTGGCTGTCAAAGGTTTGTCTGAGTCCCAGGTATCCTGCTGGGAACTCAGGGTCTATCTATACTGAATGGAAAGAGGCCCCAGATAGGGGCAGCTCACCCTCTGCAGTGCCAGCAGCATGGCTGTCTTTCCTCCCATGCTGTGGCCAATAAGGACACAGGGTACTAGGCCCAGCTGGGGCAGGAGGCCCTGTAGGTCCTGGCTCATGGCCTCGTAGCTCATGTCCTGGCTGTGAGGGCTGTCACCATGGTTCCGAGCATCCACTGTTAGCACCTGGGGAGTAGGTAAGATAGGACAGTGCTGATGGCTCAAGGCCTGGTAGGGACTGCAAGTTGAGGGGTATGGAGCCTGACAGCTCCTGATGAGCAGAAGGGCCCAGATGGTGAGAGAACTCAGTTCACAGGCCTAGGAGGGCCAGATGAAGAACCTGGGCCCACTCTACCAGAGAAAAGAATACCCAGGGGGTATGACCGTGTTTCTGAAGGTCCTGGCTGGATGGCAACCCCAGAGAAAGCCAGGAAGGAGACTCTAAGAATTTCCAATAGTTGGAGCACAAAAAAATGGGGCTGCCATACAGGTGGTGAGCTCCCTGTCATTTCTGATGAACAAACTGAGGCTGCCCCCTTCATGGGAACTGACTGGCACTTAGGCATTGGCCAGCCAAGCCTAGCTCAGTGTGGAGCAAACAGATGAAGATCTATACTATGAATGAAGATGACAACACGAGGGAATGTATAGGGGTCCATCTAGGGTCTGTGTGCCTGTGAGGCCTCCATCCTTGTTAGCATTTCTCTCATTTCGGCTGCGGGCTTTACTTTGAGCTGAAATAGGCCACCCCTCCGTGGGGACCCAGAAGCCAGCACAAGCTGGCCCCGCCCCTTCTCCTCCCTGGCCCCCACTCACCGCCCCACCCCCACGGGACCCCGCCCCACACGGAAGCTCACCCTTCGGCCTGTCTTCTGGGCCAAGGCCTTAGCGATAGAATTGAAGTTAGTTTTGCTACCTAAGAGCCCATGCAGAAAGATGACGGCAGGCAGGGCTTCCTCTCCGTCCAAAAGCTTGTAGGAAAGGGGCAGTGGCCTGGCGGGAGGGGACAAAGACCGCGGGAAGGACTGAGTGGAGGGAAAGGGGCGGTAATATGGGGGAAGAGTCTTGGGAAGAGGCGGGCCTGAGGGGGGGAGGTGGGGCCGTCGGGGCCGGGAGGGAGGGCGAGGAGCCGAGGACTGCCTCCAGCTTGGCGCCCTTGACTGACCTCGGCTGGGCGCCCACTCGGCCGCCGCCGCTGCTGGGCATGAAGTGCACCCTTGAGAAGCTTGAACCAGGTGGACCGAGTCCTCCATGGGGAAGCTTCCACGCCCGGGCCCAGCGGAGCATGCTTGCACCCACTACCCGGCGTGCACCTCGCAATGGACGTTTGACCTACGCTCCGCCTCTCGCCTTCACGCCGAGCACTGCCCCGTTCGACCGGAGCTCCACCCTCTACCCACCCCTGGCGTAATTTCCCGCCCTCCGTCACGTTTCCTTACGTAATCCCAGAGAACTGATCGTCCCCACCTACAGCTCCGCCCCTTACGTCATTGCGTAATCTTCCCAGGGTCCGCGCCTACAGCCCCAAGCGCCGCACCTGGCCATTTCCTGGGCGGGGCCACCCAATCTCTGGCCCCGCCCCTCGCTGAAGTCTGTTTCACCCCTCGCAGAGGCCTGCTCCGCCCCTCCCGGCGCAGAATGCTAGGAGGTGTTCGGTGTTTACCGCTCCGGATGTTCTGGGTTCTGGCGCGGCTGCCGGGCAGGGCCTTGGCAAATGAGGAAACCCTGCTTTGGCCCGTGTACCTGGCCTACTCCTCTGCTATCTCTGCCTTGGGCAGGTGCCATGCTTTCTGTGCCTCCAGCAGGGGCAAGTGGCGCCAGAGTGGCTCTTGCTGGAGCGCCAGCTTTGTGGCGGTGTCACAGCTGGGTGCCCGGGCAGCCAGAAGGAGTGGAGTGCAGGACCTATCTATACTCATCTTGTAGTCGTGGACTGTAAAAAGAGCTAGAAAGAACTCTAAAGGTCCCCCTTCAGACTCCTCCATCTCCTTTACAGGTGGAGAAATTGCGGTGAAGAGACAGAACCAGAGTCTCTGATCTGTTCATGTTGTGAGTCAAGGTGGGAAACTAGGGTTAAACCCCTGCCAATAGTTTGTTCTGTTCTAGGCATTTGCTAGACTGAGCAGAGAAATAAACAATCCCCCCACCCCAGAACCCAGCACATCCTGGGTGGAATCCCCTTCCTTGGGAGCCCTGACTGCTGCCATTTCCCTTCCCCAGTCTGGGGTAGTGGTGGTGGTTTTATTTTGGGTCTCAGTTGGCTTCTATTGCCGTCTGTCCTTCAGCAGTTACAAGAGTAGCTACGCTTTCTACAGCCAAGAAAGCCAATTTAATCGCGATGAGAAAAGAAAAGAACTTTTATCTGAAGTGTTAGTCTTTCTGTGGCTCTGGTGGGTCTGGACTGTCAGTGGGTCCGGACTGTCGTTAAGCAAAGAATAGAACTCTTCTTACTTTTCTGGTTCTGTTAAAGCATTCCTTCCAGGTTACAGAAGACTTCCAGCAGATAACCCTCTGACATTTTACAAGGTCTCCAGTAGATGACCTTTGATCTCAGTCATAGCACATTGGCCACCTTCTGAGCTACATGTGCACCACACCCTGAATTGCTTTAAAGAGGCCCCTTACCCTAACTCGGCACATTTTCTGCCATTTTCCATTTTTGGTGGCAGCTCATTTGTTTGCAGGTGCTCCTAATAAATCTCTGTTATTAACTCTACTTGACCCGGTTCTTTGTAGCACCTTTCAACATCTAACATGAAGAATGTGAGTGTTTTTAAATTATCAGGCCCAGAGAGACATTAAAATGAAACAGCAGTTGCATCCCACACCCTCTTTGAGCTATGTATTCATCTCTTGAAATTGCCTGCTGTTGGCACAGGTGGCTATAAATTAACCTAACAAAGCTGCACCAGACACTATAACCCACACCCTATAGCTTAACAACATATACAGACAAGTACTAATTAATGTCACTTCTGCAAACCAATGATAATTTCTGATAATTTTATATCATCCCACCCCTGTCCACTTTTATTACCTTTAAAAACCTCCCTTTTGGTTCGGCGCCTGTGGCTCAAGTGGCTAAGGTGCCAGCCACATACACCTAAGGTGGCAGGTTCAAATCCAGCCAGGGCCCACCAAACAACAATGACAGCTGCAACCAAAAAGTAGCCGGG